AATAATTATTAACATACCATCCCTTCTTTTGGATCCAATATCATACGATTCAAGAATCTTGGGGGGAGGTCTGCGTATATACTGTTTTCCAAGAACGTGCGACGATCCTTCTTTTGGAGAGCCTTGACGCTCGTGAAGAACGCATGCGCATCAAAGTGACACAGCTGACATATCCCTTGCTCGGCGTCGAAAAGTTGACGTCTGGTTGCAGTKCCACTWATTCGCATCTGAAAGAAGASCAAATTCTTTAGTCTAAGCACAATCCTTTCTCTAATTATCCCTACCCTCTCCTCCCTTACCTGATAACTTTCTTTACAATCAAAGGAACAAAACCTTGAGTCCCAATTGTTCCCCAAGGAACCATAATCCACAGGTGCTCGACAAAACAGACACAGTGGAAGGCCGTCGGGTCCGAAMGCTTGCATACAAGATATTTCGTCTCTGTTCGTAGCGCGCTCGGCTGGTTTTCGGGAAGTACTCGGTRAGTCGCCGTTAGGGTTTTTCTTGCGTCTTTTACGTTCGGGAGACTTAATGACTTTACGGACGTCTCCTCCAACTAGGTCTGCTGTGTCTTGAACGTTCTTTAAACAAATCTCCTGTAATGTGTGTTATACAAAGTTAGACGCACTGAAGCAGACAAACAAGAAGATCAGAATYCATATCGATATTACCTTATTCCAATGGCGGACTTTGGACGGTTCTTTCTTCAACTGAAATATAAAAACACGCACACGTTATTCATTGATTGATTACTGCTTGGTTTGAATCTTCAATTGATTGATTAATAAAATAACTGATCATGGTTAATTGACTGAATGACTTGACTGATTGATCAATCTATTGAAATAAAAATCGTTAACTCACGCCACGAGCGACTTGATARGCATCCATAGGATCTTTGAAGAGCATCTTTGACTTAACTACAATCCGCTGCATTTGAGGTCCAAGCCTTGAAACAACAATATCGACATCATTAAAACCGCACAACAAGAAGGCTATCAGAGTTGAMTGAATCATAGGTTTACCTTGTCCACAGGCGAACCATTGTTTTAGCTTGTTTGAAGTTGTGTTCATGTTGTAGAATATGTGGCAAGTCTTCTTTGCTGTTGTCTTTCACATCACTTATCAAGAAATTACACTTCAAAAACGTCCCACTCTGAAAGAAAAACACGCCATTATGARCTTTATAAGAAAATATCTTCATGATGGAACAGTAACGACACAAAAGAACTAAATAGATGAACGTAATAAAATACYCATTGCGCATGTTCAAATCTACGTATCTATCCCACATGGCGTAGCACTTAAGGTAAGTAAAAAAGTTAAACGAGCAAAGGAAATGGACAAACTCACCTCATCATAGAGAAATACACGGTCTGTGTACAGACTCATAGCAAACTTCAAAGACATTGGCTTGGGTGGATCCTTTGGCTCCTTCTTTTTCTTTYCCTTGCAATGAACAGAWYCTAACTCTTCAAAATCATCTTCGAATTCATTTTCCCCTCCGAATATCTCTGCAGCAGCTTCTTGAAGTTCTTGAAGGCTTTCACTCTGTTCTATCGTTGATTCTTGTTCTGTTGTGGTGTTTTCAGAGTCTTTACTACCATCTTGTGCAGCCGTTGTTTCTGTTCGAGAGCTTTGTTCATCTCCCGCTTCCTTGCTGCTAGATTCATTTAGTTCTAAAGTGTTTTCAGCTTCAGTTGTACTTTTTGATAAAGTTGTTGTCGATGTTGTGGTTGGCGGAAGTGTTGTTGTCGATGTTGTGGTTGCCGGTAGTGCTGCTTCTGCTTCTGTTCGTCGTGGTGGTAGCAATGTTGTTGTAGTAGTGTGCGATTGTGTTGCTGTTGCTGTCGGTGGTAACGTTCTTGTTGTTGCTGTTTCTGTCTTCACTGAACTTTGACATCTGATCTTCGTGTCCTTTTGCCCATGTTCGTCTTCAGTCGATGAATCAGGAGTAGAAGTGTCCAAAGTAATGCTTTCTACGGTCATGTCTTGTAGACTTGCATCAGATGGYGCCTCATTCATATTAAAATGTTCATCGTCTGTGGCATCAGAATCCGACAGCTCGAGGAGAAATGGGTTTTGACTTTGTTCAGCTAAGCTGTRAACTGTTTTAGTAAGACCACTTTCTTTGCCGAGGACGAAACCTCCTTTCTCGCTCTGAAGATTATATTCTTCTGCATTAGTTATGTCTTGTGTTTGATCTGGTGCAATGACGCGGTTTTCTGCTGAAGAAATGTCATTGCTTTCAAGATGAAGWCGTTTTCKACTCTTTTGCCCGCTTCGTTGCTCAATCAAAGACGACCCATCTCCTTCTCCATCRAGGACTGTATCCTCTAAGTGTGAATCTTCTTCTTTTCCAATTTTTGATGTAACGTTCGTTCTTTTAGCGGTTGACTYGCTCGATCTTTTTCTTTTACGCCATCGCTGCTCACAGCTTGAAGTTGACCAGTGATTGGGCGTCTTTCTTTGACTTCGTCKTTTTGGYGTCATGCAMACTGAACATTCAATCAACATCGCATCGTTAAGAAACGTACAGGCCGAGCATGACCAGTCAGTAAGTGGTTCCTTGAAATCATCATCGYCATTAACTGGTGATACTTTCAAAACGTCTGCCMTCTTCTTGTCGCTTTCTTCTGCTGGGTTGCTCGATGTACTRGRAATGGAAACTGGGGAACTATCAGTTGTATCAGGTTTTTTCATAGTTGTATTAACTACAAGCTCTTTGTCTTGTCTTGGAGTAAAACAGATTGAACATTCAACCATCTGAGGGTCATTAATGAACGTACATGCGTTACACGACCAGGAAGAGCTTGCGTTAGTAGACTTGTTGGAAGAGCTTGCGTTACAGAGTAAAACAGATTGAACATTCAACCATCTGAGGGTCATTAATGAACGTACATGCGTTACACGACCAGGAAGAGCTTGCGTTAGTAGACTTGTTGGAAGAGCTTGCGTTACATGTCGTAGAAGAACTTGCGTTACATGTCGTGGAAGAACTTGCGCTACATGCCATGGAAGAACTTGCGTTACAAGTCGTGGAAGAACTTGCGTTACATCTAGTGGAAGAACTTGCGTTACATGGTATGGAAGAACTTGCGTTACATGTCTTGAAAGAACTTGCGTTACATGCCATGGAAGAACTTCCATTACATGTCGTGGAAGAACTTGCGTTACATGTCGTGGAAGAACTTGCGTTACATGGTATGGAAGAACTTGCGTTACATGTCTTGAAAGAACTTGCGTTACATGCCATGGAAGAACTTCCATTACATGTCGTGGAAGAACTTGCGTTACATGTCGTGGAAGAACTTGCGTTACATGTCGTGGAAGAACTTGCGTTAAATGCAGCCGAGGAACTTTCATTGACGGTGTAGTAAGTTTCGTCTTCTTCTCTCCTTGTACCCGCATCTAAGGATATAGAGTCTACGTTATAAAGGTTTGTCTTGGGCTTAGGCATTGGCGATAGAAAGTCGTCATCGTCAGAATCGGTCTCAGTGGTCTTTTCCTTTACTAACACTCGTCTTCTTCTTTCCAGTGGTGAGCTCGCATCTTTTTGCTTCAACGAAAACGGGTTCCGTTGCTGCTTTTTTTCTTCGAATGATTTATTTTTCATTTGTTCTTCTTTATCGCAATCTTTGACTGAWTGCTTCCCATCACATTTATTTTCCTGTTTGTCACAAAGTTTATCTCCTATTGTCTTTTCAGCTGAATCCTCTTCCCCTGAGTCTAAAGTTAATGTTGACGACGTTGAGCTCGCCTCTTCTTCGTCAACTGAAGTCGGCCCACCATTTTCAATATCGTTACTAGTTTGTATGTATGACTGAAAGATGTCTTCGCTGTCAACGTACTCACTGAAMTCATAAAAATGGTGGCAAGCGTTGCTTGGAACTGACTTTTTAATTGCTGAATGATCTTGAGAAGTATTTGARGAAGACGCTTTGGTTTGAGTAGGGGTGGTGTTTTCTTCATTATCTTGMTTTGTAGAGGGACCATTATCTTCGTCGCTGTCTTCTACTAGCATACTGACCAAGTCATCTGAAAAGGAGTAATACAGTTAATTACAATTACACTAAATATAATATAATAATACAATAAATACTAATACCATAGATTAAAACACAATTCTAATTCAATATTAGAATAAATATAAAAAAAAATTAAAAGTTATTTCACAAATATTTTAATTTTGAATAAAAAGGAAGTTATGATCCATTATACGTTCTTTAAATTCTGCCGTCATCAAAGTGACTACTGGAGCTTCTATATACATGTCTCTATATACCTTCGTTACATAGTTCTTCTTCTCCGCTGCTATCATTAATAATAACTGAAGGACTGTTATTGCAAGATGASGAGGACTGTGCCTTTTCCACCGATAGAGAAATGTCCATTAACTCATCATCTGAATCAACAGTCAGGTCTTGTGATGTTTTACTTGGCGGCGTGAAAAACGATCGTAAATCACTTTGCCCTTCGATCTGCTTAGTAGCTTTTCTTTTTGTCTGAAATGAGATAGGACTGTGAGGAATTATCACCAATGGAGAGAACATTTATGAAATGAGACAAGTGTGCACAAAGCTAAGGCAGAAGAAGAGAAAAACGCGTAGTTGAAGCAGAAGAAAAAGCCGACGAAGAAGGAGATAATGAAGAAGACAGGTAAGATGAAAACAAAGAAAAGTTGAAGAATGGGAAGAGGAAGAGAAAACAGGCCAGGGAGGATTTCAGTCGGCTCGTACAACAATCATACTGTACGTAATCACACCGTTACAACAACACAAAGATTGAAGGAAGCAACAAATTCATCGTGGAATCAACTTGGTTATTTACTTGTGAAAATAAATAAGTCCTTGAATCTTCATCACCCTCTTCCGTTTCCTCATTCAGCCAAGCAGCACACGCAGATAATTGTTTAGCAGTTTGTTCATCACCATCCTCTGCATGGAGYTCATCAAGTTTACCATCAAGAGCACTACTTGTCACATATATCTACAAGATAAAACATGTTGTTTTAATGACATACATTGTGTCTTCAGGAGAAGAAGTGAAATCATGAGAAATTGCTAATCAGCAGATCAGATCAGAGCAGTTGAGTTTAAGTGCACTTCAGACTTACTTTGCGTTTAAGCATACTCCAGAGGACTTCATCAAGAGTCCCTCTACCTACAAGATAATGGACATTGACGGCATTGACCTGACCAATCCTGTGTGCTCTGTCTTCTGCTTGCATCATGATCCCTGGGGTGTAGTGAAGCTCTGCAAACACCACATGGTCTGCAGCAGTCAATGTAATGCCCTGCAATGGTAGTTTCATATAATACATGATATAGAACTCCAATATTATATTAAAAAACTGAGGCAACATACTGGAAGATACTATTTCTGTGAAAAAGAAGCATTGGTAAAATAGAACAGACTAACAATTAGCCCTCCAAAGGTCCCTATCATGGCTGATAGATTATAGTTCAGTTGATGACAGGATCACATGAAGTCAATGAGCATGATTCTGATTTTGTTTTTACTTACAAAAGATGCAGCYTCAATTGCAAGAACAGCAACACGAACATTTGGGTTGTTTTGGAATTGCTGAACTAAAGCCTGAAAAACAAGAGAATGTACWTCAGCATCCTACATTCATGYTATTTGTGACATAAGAATAAACAAAAAGTTTGAGGAGATTACATACCCCTCTAGCAGACCAACCCACACTGCCATCAATGCAAATGTATCTGACGCTCTTTTTGGCAAGTTGTTGGATTACAGCAGTAACGACTTGYTTGTGCCGGCAAAACACAATGAACTTATTCTCCATACCATCCAAGAGATCAGAGATGTATTGCTGTACTGAGCCAGCCTTCATAGTAAGATAGAATTCAATCAGAGTGAATCCAGACTCAGTACACAAAAATAGCAGTTAAAAAATCATAACATGAAATGATACAAAGAAACACAAGGCAAGCAATTAATAATTATTCTAAAATACTTAGGATACTACGCGCGCTATGATTGGTCAAAAACCATGTTTGATTACAGTATCAAAACACGCTCGCGCGCGTCAAAAATTTCTTTTATTCTTTTAATTTTAGAAAAGAAATAAAAGACGGAATTCCGTGTTTGATACTCTGATCAAAACACTTGGGATGTAGGGAGAGCACTCGAAAAGCTGGAAACCACTCCGCTACGCGTCGTGGTTTCCTACGCTTCTCTCGTGCTCTCCCTACATCCCGCGTGTTTTGATCAGAGTATCAAACACGGAATTTCGTCTTTTATTCCTTAATTAATTAATTAGAAATTAATCTTTGACACTGTCTCACTTGACTACAAAATAGAGTTATAAACTAATACTTAAAAAGAATTACTAGGCAATGTATGTGAAGTTCCATTTCATGTAGAAATGTCATTCATTCTATTGGTAAAAGCTCATGGAATCTTTCTTTAGTACCTTAGCTAGTCCAGTATAATGGTAAAGTACTGTAGAGAGTCTATTTAATTCAAACAAAGTTTCAGTTTTTTGTCTTTGTTGTGATTCTTTGCTTTGAAGCACCTGGTGATGTTGTTTGAATTCATTTTTGGCCTGCAATAAATCCTAGAAAAGCAGGAAAAATGTACATAAATTTAATGAATTAAATAATTTTAAACAAGTCTTTCTTTTTACCTTTTTGTAATCAGAATCTGGAATATCAAATGTAATCTTTTGTCTTCTTTTTGGAGGCAACTGGGTCAGAACCTTGAAGAATTGAGATTGTAATAATTAAGCTTTATGTCATGTATGTGAATCCTAGCAGATTGKTTTGACTGTTTGAGTGGTTCAATCCATTACTGGTATTACTGGTATTACTGGCATTACTGGTATCAATGAAACTCAAATAAGATGAAGCACTTATTAATTCCAACAAGGATGAACTTACATTTTTCTTGAGTCTGCGTATCATGATACCATTGTGTAGACGTCTATAGAGTTCTTCTAAATTACAGGCACCCCTAAGTATACATACAGCCATGATAAACGTTATATTTCCAGGTACATTGCCATAATAATAAAATAAATAATAGTTCATCTTCACCTTGTATTCCACTTTCTTATTTTGCCAATGAATTCATAATGCGCTTCACAGTAGCGAGTTGCATAGTTGGAAAATGATCCAAACTCCCCAGGACGAACCATATCTAGCTGAGCATATAACTGTGAAACAAATTCACAAATATAACCATCATTAACACAGGCAGCCTAACCATAAACATAACTACAAATAAATCCACACAATGTCTAACCTCCTCTGGTCTTGCCAAAGATGGAGTTCCTGATAGCAGAATAGTTCTCTTTGCTGATTTTGCAATAGGATGAAGGAGCTTAGTTCTGCCTGTAGTTCGATTTTTAAGATAATGGCTCTCATCCAATACTACAAGTTTGAAGGCCTGTTCCTTCAAAGCATTCACAAGAAGATGAGAACTTTTTCTTTCGATACATAATCCATAACCGAGGATGTTAATCTTGGATGTTGCAATGTTACTATGAAAAAAAGAACAATATCGCCTGAAATTATTGTAGTTTTTTTTTTTCACACAAAAAACAACAAAACAAATGCAACTAATGAAAACATTTCTGCTCTTTGCTTCCTTAGAGTTCCCTGCAGCATCTATCATTACAGGTCATCTCATTTCAATACAGAGTCATACCTGCCTTTCAAGATATTGCTGGGACTGTGATGAATATTATTGATTAATTTAAATAAGTAAYTATCTTCACCTTATATCTGTACCAGATCGTATCAAATTAATATCACCAGGTTCCAGATCAGTCARCCACTTTTCAATCTCTTCAATCCATGGATATTTCATTGATGATGGCACCACAATCAATGCAGGCCAATCATTCTTGTAGTAGTAAGCAATACTAAGAGCTTGGAGAGTCTTACCCAGACCCATCTAATTAAAGACATTGAATATTACCAAACACCCATCAAAGCATGATTTTTTTTGTCACACTAGAGTAGTGAATCAAAAATATTATACACAGCCACCTTACCTCATCGCCAACCAGGCATCTGGAAAATCAGAGAGACATTGATCAGAATTTAAAAGATTTGGGATTGTTAGCAATGCACCGTTTGCTTTGCAAGTTCGCTTGGCAAGTTCGCTTTTTTTAGCTGTTTAGTTTATGTTTGCATCACAACTGTTTAAAAACAACAGCAGCTCACAAAACTTGTAGTTTTACTTTAGCAGAGCAATAACAGCAAGGAATCTGGATCGATTTTACATCACAACAAATCTTAAAACAAAACTTATCATAAAAGAAAAACAGAAGAGTAATGGATGATCCCAACAAACCCTAGAAGAAGCAAAGATTGGGAACGATATACTTTGTCACATGGTATTGCGTGTTTGACACCTCAACACGCGCACGCACCATTTTGTCGAAAATAGATACAAAAATCAAGTTAATTGCGATAATTTTCCATGCATACCTTCCCTGGTTCCTTATCCCAAACTGGACGCCATGTTTTTGAAAATCAAGTAAAGAATCGCGCAGATTTTCGGGCAAAAAGTTCAAACTTTCAACTTCACYCTCTTCGTCCGCCATGATGTAAACATCTCTGGCTAGCGCGGGAACCAATCACGTGGCTAATCAAGGATTCGGCGCCAGGCTTCACAAAATACACAGGGAACCCAYGTAAAAGAACTTCGCAAAGCAACGAATGAAAACGGGAGAGAACGAAAGAAACGATTAAAATGAAAAAGAGAGGAATGAGTTATTCAATTAAGTAGGTGATGGCAACATCGAGGGCTATTATATTTGTGAATTTGAGAAGTTTAGGTCGCTTTTAATAAATACTTCTACAGTTTGTGGATCTCGATCTTCCTTTGCCACTCAGGGAGAAGTAAATAAAAAGAACCATTAAAGAGGAGAATGCGAAACAAACAGAAGACAACCAATAACAATAATGACGCACGATACTGCCTAAGGATTTTCTATGAAAGCACAGGTGTTTTACGACAACATTGAAACAGGCTGGCAACATGCAATAATGACATGCCGTTTGTTTCTCTCCCTACCCCCYACCCGTAAAACCCAACCAATGACGTCACATTTCAAGCGCCGTCAAGTAGAGACAGGAGGTTCGCCGACCCTGATGTCGGTAAATATACAAGAACTAATGACCCCTAATATTACATCATCATTCATATTTCTCTACTCCATCAAGCATGGCGCGATGACCTCAACAAACACGGGCCCCCTGTGGTGCAGTTTACCCGAGATCAGTGATGGGAAAACGGGCACCAGCGATACCAGTGCGGTCYTGTTGTGTGTGAGTTCATGGGAGGAGAGAGGAGGTCTTGCACATCAAATGATTCAATACTGGAAGAATGTCATTTGGTTGAACATTAAAAATGCCATCTTTTCTAACACCTCAAACACACAACTTTTAAGAAAACAGTTGTGTTGGTGTGGTTTCTGTTGAGCACGTCACGTTATGTCAGTAAAACATGAAWAGTTCTGTCAAACAAAATATAAACTATATTGCGAAAAAAGGTGTAATGCACGTTCAAAAATGAATATCGTAAAAAGTTCAAGACCAATTCATACACGAATGAATTAACTTGGAGTAATTTGACTTGATACCATTCGTCAGTAGTTCATTAATAGGTTTTAAGTAAGAAAGCTTTATTTTTGTTTGGGTTGAATGTTTATTTCTGAAACTAGTTTCTTGTGAAGCATAATATAAATATACCAAAAACTGTAAAAAGAAACAAATAAAAATATAGAATTTGGCTAACCAGTAGCTCAGTAATTTTGCAATCAGCCGAAATCTTACGYGAGACAAGAATTTCCCGCCCTTTTTGACGCGCGTACCTGGTCGCATCACGTTTTTTAGGCCAGTATTTGTTTTTCTTAAAGTTTATCTTTATGATAATTGATACAAAGACTAAAACTTCATATCTATTTTATGTAAGTACATGATATGGRGGAAGATGTTGTTGGACAGAAAAAAAGCTTTATTCAAAGATGGATCTGCTTATATTTTTGGGTCTTAAAATGTACATTTTATTATGTGTTGGCCATTTACTCTACCAATAACACAGTTTTCGAAGTGTAAAAGTTTACCTATAAAGTGTTGAAAGGCACATGTAGTAATCATAATGTCGGAAATTTCAAAAGCCCCCAAATCTATGACATTCTAAAGGGTTTAAAAAGCGTTAAAACATTTCGCGGATGAGTACCACAACAACGACGTTTAATGTATTCTGGACTCCCTGTCACATATCAACGGCATGTAACATCCTAAGTTTTGTCTCTTGGKATGATTCCTGTCACTTAGATTGTCACCAAGACAATCAGTTCAGTAAATAAGACATTCATGTGAGTAACTTTGAAGATATACTTATTAAATGATAATTGATGTCTTTGGGTAGGGCTACTCAGTCCAGTGGRCAGTGTAAACACTTATTTACAACAAACGATCCTCMACCATACCATCACTACTAATGGCCTTATGTAATTACCACTCCCACATTAAATGGTCAAAGAGTTCCAATAAGCACTAATAGGTAAAACAAACATACATTTTCCTAGTAATTTACTGTGAATATTTACTGTGAAGTCAACGAAGTACAAAGTTTTCGAATCAAAGTGTTARAGTGTGAACTGAGGAGTACTTATTGAGTCTTAAAGGCGTCAGAATTGTTTACACAATTCAAGATTTCAGCCACTTGTAGGGGAGCAACWGGTGGCCAAAGATCATCATTTATTGATAGTCATTGACTTTGTCGTTTATTGATATCCCAGTACGTTTGTTTATGCGATTAGCACATCTCTCTTCTCCTTCAACCTATTGATTGCCTATGCGTACAATCTGTAGTCAAACATAACTTCAAGAATTTTGATTGACAAACTGTAGTAAGCCTGTCGTGGCGTGAAATGGCATCAACTCATTTACACGCTAGTCGATCGGTTGGAAATCTCCCTGCGATAGGAAAAAGAGAAGATGGCGAAGGCTTAGAGTCATGTGAAAAGACAAACTTTGAAGAGTACAGTCCAGACTGTCACTCGGCCGTCGATGGGATCTTAAGAGACACGATAAGCGACTTGCAGAAGGCACTCTATGAATCAAAACGCTTACTATCTGAGAGAGATAATGAGATCCTGTCACTCAGAAATGAAGTGGAAGAAATGAGACGTCGTACGAAGAGTTCTCCTTGCACAAGCGTAACAATCGAAGAAGAGTTTAAGAAATCTCAACGAAAAGTCATTGAACTAGARAAGACTATCCAGCAGCTCCAAGCGGACATATCGACMCAACGCTCGCAAAARAATGACATTTTAAAACAATCTCAGGAAACTGAAGCAAATCAGAATGGAGGCCACACTTGCTATTGCGGGTCAATGTGTGTTGCTATGAAAGAAGTAGTAGATTTGAAGAGAAAACTCCATCAAACTGAACAAAAATATATCCACTTGAAACGAAATATGAGGACAATGGAGAGAAATCGAGTGAAAGTTGGAGTTGCACAGAGGGACAGTCCATGTTCTGTTAGTTGATTGGTGTGTGACGGTATGTAACGCGCCATTCCTTAACTTCTCACCCACGTGGTAGGTTAAGGAATTGAWGATRTCTTTCTGTGAAAGATTCAACTAAAATTGTATCWCAAGCGAAAGGATTAAGGATTATAATAACAAAAGTAAGCTTATTGTTTAAATCTATGATCAAACCTCAATGATAAACAACCAGACAGTAACACTTTGGCTTTATAAATGAAATGATAGTAAAACCTTTCAAATAGGCTAACTAAAATCAATTTAATCCAGTTAGTTTACAACTATAACCAAACAATCCTCGGCCACAATGCGGAAATTGTATTCTTTTTTTGGAAATTACTTAGTAACAAAACATTTTTAAATAATAGARATGTTTATAATCTCTTGAGAAGATTGAACAAAGACAATATGGCTGTCAGGATTTCTCTTTGGAATCACACGCACCTTAAACTTTGTCTCGTTAATGAGGATTGAAAGCTTCAAATGCCCCGCCCTYGACCCGTCGATTTACATGTGGCTATAGGTAACACTAATGGAAAACAATTTTGTTTTGGGACTAAAAATTGTTCATTTTTGGAGCCTTATTGTCAATTTGAATAGAAGTACAGGTTTCGCTTCAATTTTTGTGTGGCATTCTGGAASSTTTGATTTWATGGTAWASGATATCACGCGCTTTGAGTGTGTGTCAGTCTTCATTTTCATCAAACATCATAAAAGAGCCACCCATTAATATAAATCACCTGCCTTCATTCATTGCTATATATTGAGCCAAAATCTTAGAATTTTAAAGTAACTACCCCACATCACAACGATTACGGGGTTTATATCGAGAGTAAAGTTCTTTCCAAGCATAAAATCTCTTGCCCAGTAAGTCAAATAAAGGAAAGTGAATCCAATAATTTTACAAACAAACCATCAAGCTATCACACGCATGACTAGTTTTACTGGGTATAGTGGTGCTTAAACTAAAACAACTACCAGTACATCCCAAGATGAACTTTCTTTGATATTAGCGCGTCTTGGGCAAAGGGTAATATGTATGGATTGATGGCTGTTCAAAGTTCAATTGGCGTTGATTAGCGGTTTTTACTCTTAACCCRAGGATTTTCACTGACTGGACTTCAAATTGACAAACCAAGCTACAAAAGTAGTTTGTGTCCAGACCAATGAATTGGTTACCGTACGGTAGACTTTAGAAAGTCGTAGACGCCAAACGTTTCACGTAGTCTAGTAACGCCTATGAAAACAACGTGACTCACAGACCACGTCCAAYCTTGTCACTCAATGGCCCGTTTCGATTTTGCCTCGAAAGCGACAAAATGTGACTTACTTATTGCGTTGCTTGGTGACCGTATAGTTACTATAGCAACTTGAAGTAAGTTACCTCAGTAACGTCATGGCAACGATTCCTTAAAATATTTGCGCCGCAGGATGAGCGCTCYAATTTCAATGAATATCGATTTAATTTAACACAATTTAATACAATATTTAATAAGAAATATATTGATAATTATGTTCAAAGAACTTATTTATATGCAATTATATAACAATAGTTGTTATGGTAACGTGAGATGAATGGTAACCATGACAACACTCATGTAAATATAAAATCGCATTTATACATGTAAAGAATATGTAATAAAGGTTAAGTTAATATTATGGTTTTCTACATTTGTATTTCAGTAATTATCATCATCATCATCAACTACTATCATCATCATCTGTTGAACTGTTGTGATGTAACGATAAATCATGAAGCATAAAAAGTTAGACTAAAACTTMCTAACGATACGGACGGTGGTTCTTCCTCTTTTTTCCGACGGAAAACCAACTTCCAACACATCATTTTAAGCTTTTTAGTTTTTGCGTATTCGTGTATTATTTATTATCACAACGGTTTCATCAGAAACAGAAATTCTGTTTAAACTAGTCACACTCTTCTTATCTCTTCTGCTTTCTCTATTTGGGCACTGCACTAAAGCTGGTCGCATGCGAATATAGTTTGTACTCCATCGTACAGTAATTGTACATACTACAATGTTAATAGTTTTTCTATTTTAGAAAGCTCAACCTGTTGGTTACTTGTATCTTGTGACCTCTTAGGGRCGGACCATTTTACTTTTGAGGGGGAGGGGGGGTGAGATCTAGTTGGTGCAAGAATTGTTTTTAGGACTAAGGCGCGCGCTTGTAATTTTTTTTGTAAATTTACAAAAGCTTTAGTGCAGATTTTTCAAAATTTTGCCATGCAGGAATTTTGTTTAATTCTTTTGATCCGTGCAGGAATTTTTCTTCTTCTAAATGGCTAAATCTTCCCCCACCCTCCACCCACAAAATTCTAATGAATTCCCCCCTAGAAGAACAYTGTGTTAGTGTACCTGTGATAGCACACCAGCTAGCTGCAGGGGACCTCGTGCTCTATTGTATTTAACCTGTCACGGGCTCAATTCTTGAGATAAATAAAATGAAACAAAATAGTTTATAGTTATAACGCAATGATTTTCAAAACTAGTTTTGTTCAAAACTGTCGTACCTGAGTCAGACTGAGTATATTTAGTTCCAGTAGTGACTAGCACTATATAGTTTTAATTTGTGTCTCTACTATTTACATTGACTATTAGATTTTGTTTAATGGGTTTATGAAATACCATTACTGTCAACTGAGTAAATCAAAAGAGCAAAACGACAGATTTGTCACCAGAAAAAGAGATAAACATTTACAGCAATTTTTAAAAAAACGCGCTCTTTTGGCACAAAATTCGTTGAACCACAGGTCTAATAGTTAGCAAAATGAAAAGAAATAAGTCAAGTCATTCAGTGTTTTTATGAGATTTGTAATTAGACTTAATGTCAAGGAACATTKTAGTAGGGTTCAAAGCACATGTAGTACCTGCTTCTCGAAACAATTGAATTTTTCATTCGAGGAAAATAAAATCCTAACGAAAAATGTTTTTGTATTTCTACGACTTTCAATACACATCTGACTTAAGACCTTTAAACTGATAGACGTCAAATTCTATCCTCCATAGAAAAGAACAGAAGGCCTTGGTAATAAAAACCTATGTAAATTTTAACRAAAATTCTCCACTATAAGCAAYACGCATGCGCGTACACGGTTTCTTTGTCCTGGTTAAATTAAAGCAATACATTCCGTCACAAACATGTGAAATCGAAACATCGAAAACCGCAACATTTGAATGATGTCTTCGGAAGGTTTAAGTCTGGAGGAAGAAATAGAGCAAGAAATTGAGAATTTTCAGATWGATTCTGATGAGGATCAAGCTATAATGAAAGAGAARCTTGAAGACGACTTTGTGTCGGATTCTATCAATGTTACAACGAATTCACTGCTCAGGGCGACTATATGCGAATTGGAAAGAGCACTTAAAGACACGCGGAGATTGCTTTTTGACCGAGACAAAGACAACGGRGCTTTGCGACAAGAACTTGAACGCACAAGAAAAGATTTACGAAGAGAGCARTCACAGAGAAAGAAACAACACGAGGAAAACGAGAAAAAATTGACGTCTTACAATGAAATTGTGAAAATAAATGAACAGATGAAAGATGAAATAGAAGAGCTGAAGACTCAGCTTGAAAGCAGAACAGCAAGAGACGATGAGGACACTGATGATATAGTMCCTTGCTGTTCATCTATGAATGAACTTATTGAAATGAAACAAAAAGTCAAAAATATAGAAAAGGAATTCGAGGATTTCAAAGCGAACAATCACATCCAAGAAGATTACAGTCTGTCTTCTTTYAAAAATAAAGTCAATTTAGTCTCCAACCCTGCTGATAATAAACAAGCACAAAAAGAGCTTCAGACACAGCTACGAATCAAATTCCTGCGAGATGCATTTTTCTATTACATGATTGATTTCCACCCAGATGAGCAAATGAAAGCCATATTGGCAATCCTGGATTATGACGATAAACGACATGACATTATTATAGAATCACATAAGATGAAACGACAAGGAAAGAAATTTATTGTAAGTGAAGTATCAAGCCGTTCTCTTACGTTCGTGCAAGAACACCAGATCTAGACAATAATGCAATTCTTGTTTAAAATAGTTAAWTATTTAACAAAATATTTTCTATTCATTGATTTTTCTAGCTTCAGATTAAATTCATATTATTGAAGTCTTTATAAAAATAGCTGATTTATTACAACAAGCAGAACTGCTTGTTATTTCAAATCTCTTGTGCGTTCTTTTTTAAAAATTTGAGTTTTTTTTATATCTAAAATCCAGATGGATTACTTTACACTCTTTATATTTAAAATTCAAATCAACCAAAAATATCTCTTAAAATAGATATTTTAACGTTTTAAAGCAAATTTACTTGAAAATGAACTTGCTTCATTAAATAATCATCGTTTACAAGGGTAAAGAATATATTAACTCGAGACACAAATGTCTCATATTAAATTACATTCCAATATGAGATTTTTTCAAARTTAGCTTTTCAAATGTGTTTATTTTTAGTTATTTTGAATTTATTTTTGTAATGCAACCATAAAAAATCAATATAGAATAAAATGCTGTTTTTTTCCAACAGTCTGAATAGTGTTTAAAACAAGATAAATAAATTATAAATTATGGGAGGATATCAACAGGTGGGGATGTAAATAACAATGAACAATGTAACAGATACATTTTGATCTGCAAATAWTCCTTGGTTTGAAAAACAAAACCATAAAATACTGGTGAACTTAATGACATACTGGGTTTCACCCAGCATTTGGAATATCATGAATGTAATTATCTTTCTCAGATGGTCCTTAAACATTGATTACCATAGTGCAATTACCCTGTGGCATGATAAAGGCAAATCATGTTTACACTGGGAATACATGCTCAATATAAATAATAGGAAATTTGGGAATTTTATTCTTCTCGCAAAAGTCGAAATTCAGTTTCTCTCGTTTTGATATCATGTATCAATGATCGCTTGGGTACATTTTCTTGATATTCAATCATTCTCTCCCTTCAAAATCCTTAGCTAAAGCAATGAAACACTTTGATGTGAGATAATTATGCCATAGGGAAAATATGCAGTACAGATTCTTGAGRAAAATCAAATCCAGAGGACATAAATTCCACACCAGACAAGAAATGGATTTAAAATTATATCACATGTTGTTATTATTATTTACATGTAAGAAACACACTTCCATTTTTTGTAATCATTTCAAGACATTGATGAAAAAGATGTTAGTTTTACATGGTCCACTATTATGAAGGTGTTGGCACAACAATATAATCTGTGACCCTGCCGTCTATTTGTTGGTACATCAATACATGTATGAAGGTGCTAGACAYGCATAGTATTGATGAACCTGACTATAGAGATAATGGTCTATTATTRTAAAGGTGCCTAGATAGCTGTAGTATTCTTGTTCCTTTCCAAAAATCTTAGTTTTAAATGGTCATTCATCATTAAAGYGTCAAGATATATGTACCTATAATGTCATTGATAACTTGTCCACATCACTGCCCTAAATGGTCCATTAAAACAATGGTGCTGTGACCACTATTCATGTCCCACACTGCACAACCATCAGCCTCATATAAAAATGTAGTCCTTTATCATGATGGTTTCAAGGCAACCATTGTATTTATGTCCCATATCATGGTTCTTAAAACATCCATAAGTTCTTTGATTTGTTCATTTTTCTTCTTGAGCAACTGTGGAAGATTTTTCAGATTAGATTATCACATTTCCCCTGACATCCCATGTGTGATAAGACATGTTACAAGCTTCCTTTTCCTCTCAAAAAGGGTACACAGGAAGCCCAATGAGACAGGCAGCCAAGGAAAATAAATGGCTGAGTTACGCATTTTGCCTAAGTTGTCCCAAACAAGGGATGAGCTTCTGTGCATAAAGCTCAATCACTAGTGAAAAAATCCTTTTATTTTGTTATCCTTCAGCAGCATGTTAGTAGAGAGTAATAATATAAYAAATGTGGYCAGATACTGCTRTTAGTGGTAAAAAATACTTAACTCTATATGAAATTGAGCTTTTGCTGTCCTACAGCTTCATCAGGACAGTCCTGATGAYYCTGTAGAAAAGCAAAAGATGTTGTAGAAACGCAAAAGCTTCTAGCAGCAGTATACAGCCACATTTGCTATATTATTACGCTGACTTTAGGAGCATTATGTATAGTGTCTCCTCTTGATTCCTTTGTGAAAACCACTGAGGTCATATTCTGAAGTCAGCTACTGGTTCAAGTTCCTTGTTTACATGGAACTTTTTCCACAGGAACCACAATAAGAGGGATATGACTACAGGCCATTTGCATGATGACGTAATCTAACTACAACTGCCCGAAAGCCTTGTGTATTTCCTGCTTTATTAAGATTCTTAGAGCAGATTTCGCATGAGTGGGACACCGTTACCGCACGGTTACCGCACAGTTACCGGACCTGGCCTGCACAATTTTGGTGAACCAATGGGGCACTAGAATTTGGTTACAGTACGATTACGGTCACAGTACAGTACTGTACTGTCCGTTTGCCACTCATACGAAATCCACTCTAATCCCTTTGGAGATTAGTAAAAAAATGGTACTAAAATTACATCACAAAAGTGGGCAAAGCATTCTGGTAGTTATAGTTAATGATGTAAGTCTAATATTTTGCATACCTGTTGTAACTGTTGTTGCTCTTTGACAAGTGATTCATCAACACTTACTTCCATTTTACTATCACTGCTTTCACCCTTGAATGGAATAACATCCTAGAATGAAAAACACRGAATTACACAGGAGGACCACCAAATGTACAAATTTTACGTAGCTATACTGAGAAACTAAATATGATTAA